GCGGGCATGTCAACCTCACACTGCCTCTATCTCCGACTCCGCCTCGCCCTCCGAGGCGGCCAGCTGGCTGCCGCGTCGGAGCAGCTCCTCCTCACGCCGCGCCTTCTTCTCGAACCGTGCCCGTTCCAGGGCTGCGCGTGCCCGGTCCCACCTCCTCAGTATGCGCGTGGCCAGGGGGTGCGCCAGAGGCTCCTCCCCCTCGCGCAGGGCCGTGCAGTGCTCACTGTACACGCTGCAGGCATGCCAAGTGTGTGTGGAGATATTGGGGGAGGGGGGGGAAGGTTTGCTTCAGGGGGCTTTGCGCCATCCGCTTTCAGGAGCAGCGGGAAGAGCGGACGGCAGCCCCAGGTTGCGGCCGCCCCAGCTCCGCACAGCCGCCTTCTTAGCAAGGGCTGCTTTGGGATGCGCAAACCGATCCCGCCCATCCCTCACCAAGCACGCCCACACCTGACCAAGGCACCCACCTGTACCAGTCGGGGCGAGCCGTGCTCCAAAAGGCCAGGCAGTTCTGCCACGCCCCCATGTCAAATGGGTTGCTGCATGGGGGTGGGGCGGCTGGGTAATCAGAGGGTGCATGCGCGTCCGGGCAGCACCTGCATACCTATCAGTGCTGCGACAGCCTGCCTTGGGTCAGCCTGGGGTCCTCAAACAACCACCCAACCCCATGAGACCTCCCCTTGGGCCCTCGCACCTGTACAGCCCCTGCGTGTCCTGGAGGTAGGCGTACCTCCTGCGCAGGATCATCTCGTTGGTGGTCAGCGCCGCCGCCGTGCCCCACAGCGCACGGCCCAGGAGTGCAGCGGTGCCCATGCAGATGCCCACCTGGGGCAGGAGAGCCGGAACGGGAAGAGGTGTACTGGGGGTGTGATTCTCAGCTGGAACGTGCGTGTGCATACCAAATTGCGACCAACTCAGCACCTGAGGACGTATGGCCCTCCATCGACTGGGGCAAAGTGCCCTTGCAGGGCAGTCATCTCGGCGATCTGCAAGCTTACTATCACAGTCCCTTTCCCCCTACCCCACCCCCCCAAAACAAACATGGCACTCTCACCGTGAGCACGAGCATGTAGAGGACCCCCGGTGACGCCCGCCAGACCAGGGCCATGTGGGGCAGCACCTCCAGTAGACCGGGGAGGGTCCGCAGGTGGAGAGCACGGAGGATGAGCAGCCTGTGAGGGGAGTGGGGGCACATGCGGCGAAGGAGTGAGGGGTTCGACAGCGACGGGATGTGCAGGGAACCCTTGTGACGGCACGTGCCCGACCGCCACTTGTGTCAGCCGGCCCCATCACGAGAGACTGTCACCTCCCCGTACCTGCAGTACCGGACACCCATGCCCAGCATGACGGCCTCGGCCCCAAAGAGGGTGAGCAGGTACCCCAGGAACTCGCGGCGGTTGCCGCGGGCCACGCAGGTCCCCACCACGGGGCAGTGGTGGTCAAACTCCTCGCAGCACCGACCGCACTGCCCGCAGTGCTTGGAGCGGATGGGGCGGTACGCATTGCAGGTGTAGCACCAGGCCGGGTTCTGGGCCTGGAGCAGTGCCCGCCGGCCCGGGTCCAGCGGGCCGTCCGGGAGGGGAGGGCCCAGGGGCACAAACCCTGGGTCTAGAGTCCAGGTCCG